CAAGAGACCCCTTCTATAAGAGATTGGTGAAATATGCATTATGTTGCACTTATGAATCCATTCAACAAGCTCATCAAATAGAGACAAAAAAAAGAGTTAAAATTACAAAGACAAGAAAAAGACCAATTGAAATAAACCAGCTGAAGAAGACCAGTGCAAGAGGGAGATAGACGAAGTGGACTGTTGGGACTGCTGGAGGGAGATAGACAAAGTGGAGGGAAAGACAAGGGAGGGAAAACCAATAGCAGGAAAGACAGAGAAGAGAAAGAAAATAATATATATAATATTTACATATTACTACAATGACACTCTAATATAAAGTATCACTGTAACAAAAATATATTTAGATAATATAAATAACATCTATTAAAGATGAATTTTGGCTTTGATTGACTAAATTTTATCTATTTTGTCCATTTACAATATCTATTGGAGATACTCTTAGAATAAATTTGAAAAGTTAGATAACTAAAGTAAATAATAAAATATTTAAATATTTTTAAGTAACTATTTTAAATAGATTAACGACTATAAATATTGGAACTCAATGAAATATCACTTTACCCCTTGAATTGTTCCAATTCTCAACCGTCGTCCTTGCTTCGACAGCACCAACCTCTGAACAGAGGTTTCAAGTTCAGAAATGGCATCAGATATATAAGCAGTCAATTCCTTTGTCATCTCTTCTAAACAAACTTCACATGCATCACAACCCATAACTGTTTTCCTTGTTTCTTATTTTCCTTTTTCAATTAAGAATAGGAGTCATGATGTCTAGTCAAAAAGACTAAAAGAACTCTTGAAAAAAATTCAATGTAAAAAAGGCAATTAAGATGGCAAAAAAAACTCATTGCATTTCCCAAACTATATTTATAACAAAATTACATCAGAAATGCAAATTACTAATACCACTACTGCTAACTAAAAGTAAACCTAACACCAAGACCACTGCATTTCAACACAGTCTAGGCCTCCTTGGGAGACTTGGGATGAGAAGCCTTATGTTCGCCAGTAGTTGATTTCTTAGGCAACAGAACAGGGTTAATGTTTGGAAGAACACCTCCACTTGCAATTGTAACTCCTTGTAGCAATTTCCCTAACTCCTCATCATTCCTCACTGCCAAAAGCACGTGCCTTGGGTTGATCCTGTTCTTTTTGTTGTCCCTCGCCGCATTCCCAGCCAGTTCCAACACCTTTTTCAATGCCCAGAAAACAGAACAGAGTAAACAAAATACCCAAAATCTAAAAATCAAAGAGACAAAAAAAAAAAAAAAAGCACACACATAGAGATTTTTTGGATCTGAAAACACAAACCCAAAAACCATCCACACAAAAAGACTTTTGGATCTAAATAAAATAAAAGAAACTACAAACCCAAAACAGTTTTGATACTTTTTCGAAGAAACGCTATTAAAAATCTGTTTGTGAAAACAGCGATATTGGGTTCTGTATAAAAACCAGAGAAACTACAAACCCAAAACAGAGTTTTCCTTTTTGAATGAAATCGTAAAGGCAACACAAAATGGTCAGATTCGGTTGATATGCACCTCAGCAGCGAGGTATTCAAGAACAGCGGCGAGATAGATCGGAGCTCCGACACCGGTACGCTGAGCATAGCGACCCTTCTTTAAAAACCTCGCAATCCTTCCGACGGGAAACTGAAGTCCGGCCTTCACCGACTTCTGGACCGCCTTCTTCCTATCTCCGCCTCTCCTTCCCCCTGCGCCCTTGGTTATCTTCCCAGACTCCATTTCGAAGAGATTGATCTCTCTGGAACCCTAACAAGTTCTGAAACGTAGCGTTTCGAAAGGAAATTGTCAAACTTATAAATTCGGAGAGCGTTGGAGAGAATGGTTAAGATGTGAACAACTTTGGATGTGAAAATCGGGAATTTATAGCTCGCAGGTATGTTGGTAAGTTCGGGGATTGAATAGTTCGGTGATAGGATAGAACGGTCACGATGTGTGACATGCTGGCGATCCGAGAGTTCTTGAGTTTGAGCCAATGGGGTTGTTTCTCGGAATAAACACTTGGGAGGGCCCCGATGGTGATCTAACGGCTGAGGTACGAGACATGCTGACAATCTGCGGATTTCTGTATTCACCAATGACATTCCTTTGCTTTGAGTTATTTAAATGGATCACTGGCACCTAATCCAGCGGGCATGATTGGCTGGAAGTTACAGTAAAAAACTTGTGGGTAAATTGTACAAACGGTTCCTTACGTTTAATGTTAGTCATAATCAATTTGATTCCCAACTTTCAACAAATGAGATTCTACGCACTAATTGCTATTCAAAAAGTGACGAAAATGTCATTTGTCTGGTACGTGAGAGTATTAAGGAATATGTTTGTCATTGTCCTTTCAAGGCATTGGACATAAATGAAAAAATAAAATAGTCTCTAAAAAATTAAAAAAATAGTATTATCCTCACCATTATTGGCAGCCCCAATACCAGAAAACACCCCCCACCCAAAATAGATCCAAAAAAAATTGTCAGCAGCTCAATACGGCCCGACCAGATACCCTCCCCCACCCTTCCCCTAAGTATCCCTATGCACTGGTGACCATTCTTAATCATCACGACCACCTCATATCTATCTCTCTCTTTCTCTCCGAGACTCAACTGTTAGAATTAGGGGTGTCAATAAATCGAAGCGAGGTAGGGGTATAATCTTTATCCCCGTATCCGCTTCAAAAACTTTCGTCCATCCCTTATCCACTCCCACTAACGGATATAATTTTCATCTCTATTCCTAAATTTATAATTTTCGTCCCCGTTTCCCTTGTACCCGCCCAAGCACAAGTAAAGTCATAAGAATTAAAATAGTTTAATTTTTTTTTGTTGCTATGATCAGAATAGAATATGTAACAATATAAAATTGTGCCTTCTTTTCTTTGCACTCAATTATGTTGAAACAAGAAAAATTATTCTGAGAGATAATTAACTACAATTTCATGTAAATTGTTGTGGTCTGTTTCAACAAGGTTAATGTTCCAAAAATATTTGCTAAAATGAAAAAAAGAAGGGAACCCACAGATATGTCATCTATGTGTTCTAAAATTATGACATCCATTAATGACATCACACATGGAATGCAAGTAAAGGATGATAAAAGTCAAATGTAAAAGGTATTTATGGTTTTGGAACTTCTAAATTTGTAAAAAAATACAAAATGTAATGAAGAAGCAATTGATCAATGTAATGACCTATACGTGATTTTACCCCAAGCCAAATTGTTCTCTCAGTAAGTAAAGAAGCTTATACGTGATATATATATATATATATATATATATATATATATATATATATATATATATATATATATATATATATATAACGGGTAACGGGGACAGGGGCAGGGGTAAGGGTAAGTCCATCCCCGATCCAAATAGGACGAATTTAAACGAATATTCATTTTTTCCTGGTCCACTGTCATCCCTAGTTAGAATCCATCTTCCATTGTTGGTATCCATCACCACCATCGATCCTCTAAATGACTCAATCTCTCCCCCTTCCTCCCTTTTCCCTCTTATCTTCTCTGTGCCTCACACACAAATACAATACAAAATCTTGCTAAAACTGACATTTGAGCACCTCCTCCCTCAACCTATGACATAACTACCTCTCCTCTTAGTGTTAGCCTTACCCCTAGGGAAGTGAGGTGATCGCCAAGGGTTCCCATTTGCGTATATTTATCAAAATTATATGAATAAATTTTAAAAAATAAAAATTAAGATATTTCATAAAATTATCAAAAAGATTTTAAAAATATTATTTTGTAAATCATAAATATATGTACATGCAAAAATAAAAAAAAATATCACCCCACATTCTTGTACAAAATATTACAAGATTTTAAGCTCTTATTTTATCTGAATTTACAATAACTCAGGCCTATTTATACAATTATATTTTCGGACCTATAATTTCTAAGCTAAGTTAATTTTAATTTAATCAGTTACATAATGTATTTTTTTTACAATTTATTTTTCACCTTAAATATATCTACTAGAAGATATAAATTTAAATAAAATAAAAATAAATAAATTATTTACCTAAAAATAATTTTGGGGCCCATACAAACATTTTTCCCAAGGCCTAAAGTATTCTTGGACTAGCCCTGCCGTAAACCCACTTCCTCCACACACCTGCTCCTCGCCACTGCAGTTTTGAACCGATGTCATAAAATGGAGCTTGATTGCCCATGGAATTTATAGAAAGTCAAGTATTTTGTGTGATTATGTGTTGTGTTGCTTATGTATTTGTTTGTTTGTTTGTGTGTGTGTGAGAGAGAGAGGGAGAGAGAGAGAGAGAGAGAGAAATTATGCTTTGGGGGGAGGGAGATTGGTGCAGATTACCTAGGTGTGCGTGTGTTGTTCTGTAAATGTGTGTTGTGTCTTTGCTAGTGTTTCAGATATAAAATGAGGCAAAAGAAGGATGCATTACTTGAGGGGGAGATACCTAGAGTGGGGAGAGATCGAGAGTTAATTGGAGACAAAGAGAGATTCCTCTACAACTGAGAGACAAAAGAAGAAAATGAAAGAGAAAGGAGAAGATGTGTGTTTGGTACAATTTTACTATAGTCTAGATGAGGGAAAATGGTGTTTGGATGTAGGAATTATTACAAAATACTAAAAAATCCGGTCACTCATGTGTTAGGCACATGATGTGAGACTCGAGCATCAAAAAAAATTTCATTTCATAAATATTATGAGTTAAAGTGTAATTTGTCAATATTTATGTGGGGGTAAAATTATAATAATTAAACTCTGATAAAGTAAGTATGTTTTAATGAAGCAATTGAATTTTTGAATTACGATGTAGTGAATGTATAGGTGAGATTTTAAAGTGTCAGGGAAGTTTGGAAGTTAAAATATTTGAATTAAAGAACAAGGGGGGAGGGTTGTGTAATTATGGTAAAAGTATGCATGAGGAGGACAGTCGGCATCACGGTGTCTCTCCAGCCTTTTTTATGGGGAAAAATAGAAAAAGGGTAGCTTATGCAACAAACGGTGGAGGGAGAAAAGAATTGGGGAAGATGTTAACTTTACACATGTATATACATACTTAGATATGTTCATTGCTGTTCTATAGTTAAGTAATAATGGATCCTCCCATGGATCAAAACCTAGTAGAGGAAGAGGGATCTCATGCTCCTAAGATGGCTGAGGAAGGTGATAGACAGCAACTAGAAGGTAAAGAAGGGGAACAAAAGAGATACAACTAGCAGCACGAGCATCGCCACCCATGCCATATTTGGAGCCACGTGGTACAATACATGAGAGGTTTATGAAATTAAATCCTCCAACATTTGTGAGAACAATTAGCCCTCCAGAAGCTAAGGACCGGATGGAATCTATCTTTTAGAAAATAGGGGCTAATGGTGAACAATAGGTTATCTTCGCAACTTTTATGTTGACAGAGAAGTGGGAGGCTACAAAATGATTATTAACTTCTCTAGTTGCTGGTGAGGGTACTCAAGTACAGAGAAAGGTTACATGGTATCAATTCGTGAAAGAGTTCAATACCAAGTGTTTTGAAGAGTCATATCGCTATGGACAAGAGCATGCCTTCATGACACTAACTTAAGGGATGATGTCAATGTCAGAGTATGAAAAACAATTTACTACATTGTGTCAGTTTGCTAGAGCTTTTGTCCAGATTGATGAGGCAAGGTGCAAGAAGTTTTAATGAGGGTTAGATTACCCGATCCGAACTCTTTTGTTAGCTTTTGAATTAACAAGTTATTTAGCTTTGGTGAATAAAGATTTAGTGGTTGAAAAGGATGTTCAATAGTCAGCGGGACAACATGAACAATTTAAGAAAGGAAGGTTTGATAGTGTATCAGGTAGGGAATTCCAACCTATGGGTCAAGTTTCAGAATCCAAGAAGCAAGGACAACATTTTTCTCAAGCTAGAGGTGCAAGGTATGGTAGAGCATCGGCCAACTCATGAGGTCAAAGTTTTTCTAGATTCTCTACAGGACAGCCAGGTAGAGGATCAGCTAGTAGTTGAGCAGGAAGTGTGACTTGCTATAAGTGTGGAGTGGAATGGCATATGGCTCGAGATTGTGGAATAACAATGTTAGGTGAGGAACGATAGTGCCATGGTTATGGGGCAAATAGGACATGTGATGTGAGATTTTCCAAGTGGGTATGCTGGAACATCATCGGTGGGTAATGTGACACTTGGTGGTAGGGGTACACAAGGAAGTGCATTGAGAGGAGGAATGGGATCTACTAGTACATCAAGAGCTCAGGGATGGGTATTTGCTATGACACAAAAAGATGATCGAGCATCTCCTAATGTGATAACAAGTATCATTTTTATTTTTGGTAAGAATGCACACATTTTCATTGACCTTGGATCTGCACATTCATTTGTTTTACTGGGAATGGATTGGTTATTTGCTTATCATGCATCGGTAGACTGTTTTAGAAAATGTTATTTTTCTAATAATAGGGGAGTTGGAGTTCAGATTTCAAGGTGATCAAAAGGTGACAACTAACTATTTAATTTATGCAATCAAGGTTGAAGATTACTTAGAAAATGTTGTCAGGGTTATCTAGCATATGTGAGAGATACTAGCAGAGGTGAAGTAAAATTATTTGACTTACTGGTGGTTTGTGAATTTCCGAATGTGTTTTAAGATGAGTTACTAGGTTTGCTGCTAGATCGATAGGTTAAGTTTGTTATTAAGCTTGAGACAATGATTGCACCTATATCTATGACTCCATATCGGATGACACCAGTTGAGCTAAAGTAGTTAAAAAAATAGCTACAAGATTTGCTAAATCGGGGGTTTATTCAACCTAGTGTGTCACCCTAGGGCATTCCAGTGCTCTTTGTTAAGAAGAAAGATGGAACAATGTGATTGTGAATTGATTATCAGCAACTTAATAAGGTGACAATTCGAAACAAGTATCCTTTATCTCAGATTGATTTATTT